GTGAAGGAGCCTCCAGGAGCTGGGGCATCCCTCCTTCCTCCGAGGGCCTGGCGTGCCCCTGGCCTCCCCACTCATGGAGGCCGCCGGCCCCTCTGAGGCAGCCCTTTGCCCTCGCTGGGGCCGCTCGGCCATCTCACCCTCCTGCCCCCTTAAACGCAAGCGCCAGAGCAGAAGCGAAAAGCTGTCTCGGCGTGGGGCCCTCTTTCCTGCCTTCACTCAGGGGGTAACCTGTGAGGCCTCCATCCAAAATACGTCCCTTTTCGTTGAGATTGGACCAGATAACTAGAGGTGTCAAAGAATCTCAAATTTGGAGGCTTTTTTTGAGCCTGGGGATAAATGGTTGGAGCTGTAGTTGAGGTTAGAATTAATTGCTATAGAGACTTCTGAAATATATAGTGATTATGCACTAATTGATTAACTCACCTGTCTTCCCGGGCAGCTGTCGGCGTTTGGTGAGCAAAAGTCTCCACACCACAGTGTGTCTGAAGAAAACTGGAACAGAGCGCTGGTGGTTGGAGCGCCATTTGAAGGATCCCTTTGTCAAGGCAACGAAGCGGGAGCATTACCGCTGCCGAAGTGCCTTCAAATTACTAGAAATTGATGACAAGCTCCATATTCTTCATCCAGGGCTTTCTGTTCTTGATTGTGGAGCTGCGCCTGGTGCTTGGAGCCAGGTTGCTGTAGAGAGGGTCAACGCCTTAGGTACCGGTAAGTGCACGTTTTTGGCAGGCAAGATGTGGATGATACTCATCTTGAAGCATGTGAGAAAACTCAGCTGTGATGGTGTCGGTGTGGGGAAGGGACATGGGTACCGGCAAATGCCAGAGTCACTGGTGGAAGCGTGAAGGTGTGTGCCTACGTGGCAGTGAAAATCTTCATACGGTCCAGAGAAATCATATTTGTGAAATAAAAACTTAAGATGAGGTGCTATGTAGGTGTAACGAAGTGTTCTGATTAACTGTGTTGTGGGGAGGATCCCTCCATCCAGTTCTGAAATTTGTGTAGCCTCCAGCAGGTAACTTGGCTTTTCTGTATTTGTATTTCCTTTCTTGAAAAAAGGTGGTAACCACCATGTAAGGTTTTTGTGTTTTAAACTATTAATATTTACAAGATAAGGTGTTATCATCTGTACTCTTGTCCAAGATTTCTGGACTGTCAACCTTGAAAGAACAGGACAAAACTAAGAAAAATACCTCTTGCTTATCCCAAGTAACCGAGTTTTCATGTCTTGAATGGATTAGCTTATAGCAAACCGTCCATCCCGATGCACGCAGCAAACTGTCTAAGGACAAGACGACCAGACATGGCAGGTGATACGTTTTTGTTTATTGACTAGCATGGAGCTCACGTATACGCAAGTTGTTTGCAGCCATTATGAGTGTTCAGTATGTCATTCATTCTTATAATCTAGATCCCGCTGTCCCCACCGGCTTCGTCCTTGGCGTTGACCTCCTGCGGATTTCTCCTCTGGAAGGAGCAGTCTTCCTGTCGGAGGCTGACATTGCAGACCCACGCACGCTGAGGACGATTCAGAGTCTGCTTCCTGCAGAGAAGGTGGATGTTATCTTGAGCGACATGGCACCTAATGCGACAGGCATTAAAGAACTGGATCATCAGAAGCTGATCAATCTATGCTTAGGCCTGCTGAATCTGTCACAAAGTATTTTAAAGCCAAAAGGAACAATGCTCTGTAAATTCTGGGATGGACATGAGTCCCGTCTTCTGCAAAACAGACTAAAGGAGCAGTTCCAAGACGTGAGACCTATAAAGCCTCAGGCCAGCCGGAAAGAGTCTGCTGAATCTTACTATTTGGCAAGACTGTACAAAGGGAAATGAAAGCTGAGAACCACAGGTTTTCAAACAGTTGATTGATTGGAAATCTGAATTTTGTGTGTGTTTAAAGAAAAATCCCACCATTAAGACCCTGGGTAAATCTGCCACAATTCTTACAAAGTACATCATGCTTTTCAAATACAAAAATAAACCAGGGTGGTGTCCTACTGAGTTTATCCATTAATTATACAAGCAGAGACATCCAATCTAGCTTCTCACCTGTGGAGAAAACAGTTGGGAATGGAGAAGAGTAATCTGAAAGACAACCTCTGGGGCTGGAGTAATGGAAATGAAAATAAAACAGTGATTATATGAGTTCGTAATGTGTGCTTGAAAATCATTGCACTATTAATATTGTCATAGATGAGACTAACCATAAAGGCAGTTGTTGGAATGAGAGGGAACAGCAAGGGGAGTTTGAGCCAATTTATTGCCTCTTCATCTTTCTTAAATGCTGGTGCAGTTTATTAGCACATGTAAAAATAGATAACGTTTTCGTGCATGTCAGAGCCTGCATCGTCATGTAGATCTGTAACGCAGCCGCTCGGGATACACGACTGACTCCGGAATATTTAGCCTGATGGCTCTGCTGCGTTTTCTAAAGACACGGGTTATATTTAGAAATTGCTTCTTCATTGTACTCATAAATCCAGTAAATGACAGTTGGGCAGGGTCATCGCTACTGAGAAGATAATTTCCCCTATGTTTTCAGTAATGTTTTATATTTGACCAATGTTGTTTCTTAGGTGAAATGACAAGATGTTCCTTGGAGCCCAGACAGGGAGAATTACTGATTAAATTGCTAGAATTCTGTTTGCAAAAATAAATTTAGCCACTGCCTTATCTGGAAGTGACAACTTCTACATTAAATAGCACTTTTATCAGGCCAACTATGGCGTGAGTTATAAGAGGGGCTGGTAGCTCTGTCTATTTTTAAGGCTTCCACATCTTTCTGCTCATAAACATCTCATTTGGAATTGCTTACAGATTTATCAAATTTTAACTGCTTTGAAACCTCCCGATCTGGATCTCCATACTGAACGGTGTGCATGAAAGCGTTATCCCAAGAGCCTAAACTGGGGAGCTGGATGTTGCTTTGTATATGTGTAGGAAGGAAAAAAAATGATGCCAGTCCGCTCCTTGAGAAACTTCATTAGCGGTGATCGGCAGCGGGAGCTGGAGCGGGCAGGGCGCTGGCTAAGCGGGTGCTTTCCTGCTGCTCCTCCGGCTGCAGCTGCGGAGGGGCAGGACGGCTCTGCCCGAGCAGGAGCGTTGCAGCTCGGTCCCTGGGACGGAGCGGGGGACAGAGCGGTTTTGGGGGCGCGGGTTGCGGAGGGGCGGTGGGGGGAGGCTGAACTCGAACCGCCTTCGCACCGAGGCGGGGCGTTACGGTACGGCGCGGAGGCCGCGGCGGGATTGCGCACCTACTCCCGTCGTTACGGCGGCC